CTCTCTCTCTCTCTCTCTCTCTCTCTCTCTCTCTCTCTCTCTGTCTCTCTTCACGAGAGTGTGCCGAATTTAGCCAGGCCAACAGGCTGCAGTAGTGCCAAGGTCGTGCCGTTGGCTTTTCCCTTCCCGCCGCGCCCTCGACGTCGTCCTCGTGGCCGTGCTATTTCGAGGATTTTCCGAAAGCCGTCGCGCGGCACCGGCGGCGGCAAAAGCTATCGTCACCGCGAAATATCGAAGTGGCCGTCCTCGATTTCAGTCCATCCTCCTCGCCGGACGCTTTGAGGAAATAAGCGAAAACCAGGCGGATATATCGTTTTCCTGTTTGCGCGCGTCGCTTTTATCGCCGTTCCCGGATTTATTTGAAGAGCGCGAGAGGAATAAGCAAATATTTTCGCTAATCGAGAGTAAGGTGTAATCGTTATTAATTCTTCGCCCCTCACCCCTGCTCCCCCCTTCCCTCTCCCCGCTACGTTGTGTTATCCGCGACTCTCGACGCGATTGCCACCGAAGTCAAACAAATCGTTAATCGAGTCGGAAAATATACGGAACAATCCGAGTTGTCGAGATTTTGATCCTACTTTCGACCTTAATGTTCCATTTAACGTCTGCTTCGATATTAAAGCCTATATCAACTTCTTTTGATTCTATTGACCTATTAGCTTCGTTGAGAAGTCCTCTTTGATCTTGGATGGCATTTTGTGCGTTTCCCATTTGGAGATGCTAAGTACAACTTCAATTTCCATGCGTGTTAAATTTCGACACAAGTCGAAATTTTGATCCTATTTTCGACCTCAATATTCCATCTAACACCTAAATGTTGAAAGACTCGCACGACAAAGGACGCTTTCCCAACGAAATTGTCCCCGAGGAAAGACGCAACTGTCATTCTCCTCAGTAAATCCGTCATTAAAGTGAAAAGTTCTCTGCGACACTCCCCGCGTTAGAGAGACCGGAGAAAGTTAAATACAATTTGTCAAGAACGGCAAAAATAATCTCTCGTTGCACAACCCGCGATAAGCTTTCGGTGACGCAGAAGCGCTCCGTGTGCATCTTGTCCGAGTGTGGTCGACTTAGACGACGACAACGACGGCGATTGCGCAGGCACGAAATCACGTATCCGTCAGGTCGTTCCGACAGCACCGTTACAATGTGTCGCGCACGTCGTGTCAATGACATGAACTCGTGATGAGTGCTCACCGGCGGCTTTTAATCACTCCGTGGATCAATCCGTTTCCGCCATCTTTCATTTAACTGATAACACCGACATTAATTAAGCTTTATGGAGAGAAAAATGGCTTAATTATCGATAACAAATGAATAATTTTGCATCATCCAACTGTGCCTTTCGATAATTTTTGTATGCAGGATTGCACTTGACGGATCGTCTGCAGTTATGTCTCAAAGTCCTAGTACCGGTCTGTGAATCGATCACGTATGTCTATTTCCGTCGCGTAAACTCGCGAGAAATGAAAAGCTTCACTGACGAATTAAATGAAGCTTTTCACAGAAAACAAATATTCTTGTTTGAAGAATATCTTTATTGTTGACATTTAAAAAATAAGATTAATGTTAAAATAATATTACGTGGCATTGAACGAAGATAAATTCAATCAGAAGACAAATATAGTCAAATTAACACAATCATTGTCTCTCATAGAATATTACAATATTAATATTCTTGGTTATGTGTTATTAGTCTTCAATCAAGACGGATATGATCAAATTAACACAATCATTTTCTCTCATAGAATATTACAATACTAATATTCTTGGTTTTATATTATTAGTTTTCAATCAAGACGAATATAGTCAAAGTACAATCGTTTTTTCCGTATACAAGCAAAAATATCAATACTGTATTCGTCTTGATTGAAGACTAATTTATCCTCGTTCAACGCCATATAATCTCACTTTAATATTGATCACATTTTTAAAATGTCAACAATGAAGATATTCTCCAAACAAGAATGTTCTTTTTCTCTGTGTATGCATGGTCGACTCCACGGACCAGTGCTACGACTTGAAAACGCGACTGCAATCGCACGATCCCTCACGGATCGGAAGTAACCCGGTTTCCGGTGGTTTCGCTCCTCGACCCACTTGTTCCAGCTCTCGCTCGGTAACCCTATCGGCATTGATCGCGCGCGTCGTGCACAGCGCGCGTCGTTATCGATTCCCCCGGCCGCTTTTGTACCCGATAAAAAATAATCGCGATCGTACCCGTCGAGGAAGCGGCGTGCGATATCGCGTGGACGCGCGGATCCGGGCCCCGTCATTTCCGTGACAATGGCGTAGCCGCGGGCGTTTCTCTCGAATTAACCC